CCTCCCCTCGCTCACTCCCTCTCTATTCCACCCCTTCCACGTCCAGGACACTGGCTGGGAAACCCCACAGGGCGTGTACAAAAGAGGTGAAGTGCCTCCCCACTCTCTTTCGCTCTGTTGTCACTCTCTCTCTATCAACGTGCCCCTTTATTTCCTATTCGCCCCCTCCCCTCCGTTCTCTGTGACCCCCCCTCTCTCCCTTCACTCCTAAATGGCGGCTCGCGTCGTTCAATTCTCCATTACCAGTGCCGGCAACAAAGTAAACTGAAAAAATAACGAACGAGGGGGAGACACAGTTCTTTCTAAAATAACCCACCAGGAAAATAATTGTAGCTCAAGCTGACATGAGCGGTATCACTTAAAGGGAGGAGGTGAAGCCCGAAGCCCGGCGTCCGGTATTGGCACCGCAGAGCGGAGGACGCTCGGTAAAAAACGTTTCTTGAATTTCAAAGACCCGGTCTTCGATGCCGTTGGCGTTCCTTATAAGCCCCAATACCGGGTCTTGAAATTCAAGGAACATCTTTTTGCCGTGCGGCCTAAGGGATCGTCCAGAAAGAACGTCCGTTTTTGTAAGACTCGCATTCGCTGCTAATGACAGGGGCGCTCGAACGGGGGTAGGCCACCCCGCAGTATGCGCATGCGCTGTAGGCGAGATGTTGCCTACCTACCAGGCGCTCGCTCTGAGAGCTTGGCTCACGCTAAACCCTTACCCCGCCCGTGCGCCCGCGCCGCCCGCCGCCGCCGCGCCCTCGCGTGTTGAGCAACACTTGGGGCAATCACATTACTTTTGGGCCGGCGCCACCCACCGACTGGACGGGATGGGCCCTTCGGAGGCGCTGGTGTGTTGGCGTGGGTGTGGCCACACCATCAGGCCCTTCACCGAATTAATCCAATTGTGTATAATTGCTGTACTTGACGCGAAAAAAACAACAACACACTCAACAAAAGCAAGCAACTTTTGAACAGCGGCGAGTCTGCGAAGAAGAGCGAGCATATATAGGATGTTCCTCCTTTTATGACGCGGCTGAAATGTCCACTTGAGTTCATCGCATTCGGTCGTCCTTTTTCTGGCGGGAAAAAAAATCGATGTTGGCCTGCAGACGGTGGCGGGGGCTCTGGCGGGGCCGGAGGCCGGCTGGGGGGCTGGGCCAGGGCAGTGTGGCGGCGAGCTCAGCGAGTGTCGACCCGGCCCAGTGTGGTATAGCCAGGGTCAGCGAAGGACACCGGCCTGTCGCATCGGGCCGCGAGGCATGGAGAGGGGCGAGCTGTGGCCTGCCCCGCGGCTGTAGGCAACCCAGTCTACTCCAGCCTGTCAAATATTTAAAACAACAGGGCGTGCGTGCCGCAAGGAAATGTGTGTCCACCCAAAGAATCCCATATAAATATTTGATTTTAGTAATTTCTTTCATTTTCAGCAGAAATAATTTCGGAGCAAGGCAGCCTGAATAAATTTGAAGAAAGATGCGTTGAGTGTAATTCGTTTTG